ATGGAGACAGATTCAAGCTATCCATCTGTTGAAAACAATTCTCAAAAATCACGAGATTTGGAATATCAGTCAGATTCTTGTGGAGTAATAGCCGGTCAAGTTTCAGGCAGTGCTAACCAAGACAAAGAACGATCATCAATCACACAAGGACCTCAGCAGTTGCAGCAGCAGCAACGTTTGCATTTCCCACAAACGACTGTTTCAATGTATGGAAGTAACAATTATCACCCTTATTCTGGAATCTGGGCCAAAGGTCAATACTCCAGGACCTTCTGTGAAGCCACAACCTCAAGATTCACAATTAAGGCAAATTACACATAATCAGAATATAGGATCAACTCCTGCAGGAGGGTCAACTCAGGCAATGAATACAATGACAGGGTCTAAGTTTGAGAGGCCAAACTCCATGATTGACCGTAGTAGATTACAGAGTGGTTCTCTTTCCCCCTTCACAAACAATTCAACGGTGCAGCAAAATCCAGTCCCTAGGCAGTTAGCTCCAAGTAAGGAACACAATTCTGGCTTGTTGTCATCAATGTCTTTTGTGAAGCATGAGTCAGTTGATCAGGGTACTGAGCAACAGCCAAAGTTGCACTTTTCTACTCCACATGGATTATCTGCTGCACAGTTGGAACAAGGAAATGCTATTCCAACAACTCTGAAGGATGAGCCTGGAGAGAGGCAATCCTCTAGAGCTGCCTCCTTGAGCCCTGCCAGTGTGTTGACCCACAATTCAGTTTCTCCACCACAACCAATGTCTTTGGACCCTAATGTGCTGGTAATCTCTTAACATTTTCCCTGTAGTGATATCTTAAACATGTTTCTCTATATTTTCAGTGATTCCTTCAGGAAATATCCTTCAATAATGTGGAAGTATATGTGTTGTGCTGATGCTTTCTTTTCATTATATCATCTATGTTAGTATTCGGAAAAATAAGGACTGTTCACTTACTTTGTTAAGATGGATTAGGAGAATTGGTGTTAAACTAGTATTTTGCTTAAACTTCCAAAACATTTGGTGAATGTGTTTAAGACTTCCTCCTTGCTGCTGGACTTTCAACATTATTTCCCTTTTAAGTATTTTGTTATCAAATCAGCCCCCAAACTTTGTGAGTCTGAGTGAATGGTCCAAAGCTAATTAAGCCATCATCTCTTCATTAGTGAATTGCACTTGTGGCCATTTTAACCAAACGTGGCTTTCTCTGTATGATTTTTTTTGTTGACAGTTAAAACCTGCTTAATCCTGTTTCATCTCCTCTCCATATCATCAAAGGGATTTGAGGTTTTAGCCCCAAATTAGATCTCCATCCAATTCTTATATACTCCTCAAGATTACTTATTCCTGTGAAGTTCCAGCTACCAGAACACATGGTAGTATATAGTTGTAATGCACAAAATGAATCAAATCCTGTGTATGGAAAAACAAGATGACTGATGCTGTTGCCTTTATCGTCTTTGTTAGTCGGAAAGGACCTAAAATTTTATTGGCA